TCTGGTGCAAATTACTGACCTCTGTCATCATTTTAAGTGGGGGAACTTGCACAATCGGTGGCTGACTAAATACTTTTTTGCCCCACTGTAAGTTTTTAAGATTAATCTTGCCAGTGACAGACAGAGCTCATTAAGCAGACAGGTGGGCCTGGTTGCTATAGCGACTGAAAGGTTTTTCTAAGTTGAACGGTGTTGAAGTAGTAGGAGTACAAAAAACGTACAGAAGATGGAATAGTAATAGTAAATATTTGAATAACAATACTGTGAATGCTTTTCAGCATTCACAGTGTTGTGAATTGATGAGAAAGTTCTACAAGTTGTGCTTTCATCGCTTGTGTCCAGATTACACACTGCACTGCAGTGCTGCTCCGTCTTTTCACTTTCATTTCTGTGTTTGCATGTGCACAGTGTGGGAGGCTGCGTTGACACCCTCACGACGGCCGACAGGATTTCGAACAGGTTTGATTTTCTTATGACTAAACGATTGATGATTGGGAGCTGGTTGTGTGGTGTTAATAGTTTCTCGTTACCCCATGTATACTACACGATACATGCACGACACATAATGAAGGCGAAAGTCGGGCCGATCATTACAACTGAAAAATCGGCTCAAAATTGGCCAAAAATCGCACAGTGTATGCCCAGCATTATACACACTTCCTTTATGCAGTATCATTAGAAGGCATAGCATACATTTTCACTGCTATGCAGATGATACTCAACTTTATCTATCAATGAAGTCAGATTACACACACTAATTAGTTCAACTATAGCAATTTGTGCAATTGTAACACTGATGAAGCACCAATGAGTTAATACACACAAGGTATTAGGCTCAATATTGGGCTATTATTAATTAACTTGATCAAAAGCCTTAGGAACGGCTTCTGGAGCCTATGGTCAATAATGAGTAAATATACACAACACAATACGCTTGTGCAGGTACCATGCATGTAAGTTTTACACCTTTTTCTGCTGATAAAGACTTGTTCCACTGCCATTCACTACTGCAGGAAAGTAACCAAATAACAAAAAGTTTCCTGTTTTTTTTAACGTTTTTTTTTTTTTATTACTATTGGCTATATAAATTTGTTTTGGTTGTTTGTTTTTTTTAATACAATGGGTCCACAGAAAAGGGCCATCTTCTGTGATTTCATAGAACTTTGTTAAATACAACTTCCGCCTGTAATTTTACACATTTATTCATTACAGTTCAAGTTCAAACAGTTGTGCTGACATTTCTTTCATTCACTACAGCAGCATTTTTAAATCATGTGGGCAGACTGTGATGTACTGTTGGAACCACACTCATTTTTCTATTAACTGGGATTAAATGTAGATAAACAGCTTTACACCAACAGAAATGGGAGTTTCACCAGTCTGACCAACTCATGATCAGTGTTGTGGTAAGACTAATTATTTCCTTTGTTCTGTGATTTACAAGACGTGGGAGAATAATTTAATTTTATAAAAAAGGTAATTGTGATTGCCTAGAGTCAAAATTAGCTTTCCACCAGTGACAACTTAAGAGGGTCATCTAAGAAGGTGCAGCAACTAGTTGGCTAACTTAATTTTCTTTTTGACTAACAATTGCCTCAGCTTTTTTATTTGTTGTTTGTTATTTTGTTATTTTTGTTAATTTAGTAAAAAGAGAAGAATTTTAAAAAAAGACATGACCTGAGTGAATCAGCGAGATTAAAGTTAGCAGCTGGAGGATTTTATTACTTTTGGCCAGAGCATCCAACTGTCCCTGCTAATGATTGCTACCAGTAGCTTCATATATAACACTAAAAACATAAAAGTCTATAAACACATGTTCATGAATTCATGATTCATGAACATGTGACCTAAAGCTAAACCACATGTATGTGTATTTTATTATTCATATGCTTTCTTACCTTCATCATGAGTACCACGGTGTTGAGAGCAATCATGATCATGATGGAGTACTCAAATGGAGCTGATACCACAAACTTCCACATCCTGTACTGGAAGGACTGTGTGTTCTCAGGCATGTAACGTGTTAGCGGTTTGGCGTTTATGGCAAAGTCAATACATGCCCTCTGCAACAAAATAAAAATACATATCTGCTTTACTGTTTTTATCATTTGAATGGAACTTCAGTACTCTGTTTTGTATGGATAAAAGCCTGACTTTGCTAGAAATAATTAAATATTTTATTTAGGCACAAACACCACATTTTTTTTTTTTTGTAACTTTGGGTAACAGTTTATTTAGGTCCCAGATGCTAAAACTGGATCATTGTTAAGTAAAATTAACCAAGAACAGGTATATATTACAAATAATGTATTACAAAAATATGCATATTTAGTCACAGAAGCCAGATAAGGAGAAAATACTGAACCAACAAATACATAGTGGTCAGTGGCCATACCCTTAATAATGTTTACCAAATGTTACCAAGACAACGCATGGACCTCTTACGATTTTGAAAGTGTCTTATGGCTCTAAGCAGCAGATTATATTTAAGACCTTGGCCATTTCATCTGAAATTATCAAAACTTTAGAACATTTCTGTTAAACCATTTCCAATTTGCCTTAAAAATGTCTCAGCTTAGTCATTAGCTTTACAAAATCAAATATAGGACAGCACAGTGGTCTTCATGGGCTCCATTTTCCTCTTACAGTCCAAAGACAGGCAGTTAGTGGAGTTAGGTTAACTGGGGATAAATTGCCCATAGGTGTGAATGTGAGTGAAAATGGTTGTCTGTTTCTCTATCTAGCCCAGATAGATTTGAAAACAGCGTTTTTGTCTGAAAACGCTCCGCATCCACACTAGCGTTGTCAGTTGTTTTCACAGAGTTGCGCGTCCACATTGAAACGGCCGAAAATGCTTACGTTTCAGTACTGCGCATGCGACCTGCCTCATTTCTGTCTGCCGCTTATTTACTTTCTGGCTCTTTGAAATGTCCCGGTAAAATGTTGAGGAAAACCACAGAGTTTTTAAAATGGACTAACAATGAGGAGGAGTTGTTGCTGCGAGTAACACAAAAGTACAAAGTTGCAAAAGCGAGTGAGAATTAAAGAATTTGAAGAAAAGCTATCTGGAGCATGTACAGACTGATAT